AAAAAATACATATGGTTCAGAACAGATTAATTGTATTTACATTGAACCTTATGGGAAAATTTGATTTGGTTCACAAGCAATTCGGTTCGCAACCAGAGTCGTGGAACGAATTAAGTTCGTGAACCGAGGTACCACTGTATATATATAGCAGTGGCTTTTAACTGAAAGCAACTAACATTTTAGTATAGGAAGAAAACTTCACAAAGCAATATTCAAAGCAGAAGAATGGAAGGAAGAGAATATTTTAAAAAGTATGGTATAATGAGAAGTATGGATGTGAAAATGTACCAAAGATAAACATAGTTGGGCTTGACAGAGAACATTTGCAAGCTATATAAATGGCCAAAAAAAAAAAAAACCAGAGCAAGCATGTGAATTTATGTATCTTGGTAAGATGCTTACAAAAGATGAGGAAATGGGTGGGGATAGTTTTAGATGTACAAAATCTGGTAGAACGGTGGTGGGTAATGTGTGTTATGCCATAAGGAATGAACATTGAAAGAAGCAGAAAGAGCTAGGCTTAAGAAAGTGTTGCTGCCCACTTCAATGGAGTGGGAGTTGGGTATGTCAGGAGAAACCTCAAACCGTAAAACCAATAAATGAAGAAAAAGTGAACCGGTTAAAGGGAAGGCTGAGAAAGTTGTGGTTGGATGGTGCTGATGAGATCCTCAGAAATAAAGAGTTAAGAAATGTAAAGAACAGAAGACAATGCATGAAGCAGTATTATCAGTGTGATGAAAAAAGGAAGGTTGGCAGGGGCAAAAGGATACAGAGCGGTATACTGAATAGGGTTGATGTAAGCTGGTTTTGTGTCCTTTCATTCTTCTCTCAGGCCTTTCATTTCTTTGGCTTAGCATTTTGTACTACTCTTGTGTGTTCTGCTTAACTCAAAAGGGAATAGCATGATTGGTATGAATGTATGTAGTTATCTATAGCTTCTGCATCCTGTGGTGCCCCTAGCTAGTGCCAGTGACTACCAGAATTAAATGGCAAAAATCTCATGAGCCAAATCTTACGATCTCAGTGAAGTCTCATAAGATGTTGGCTATTTTTAATGCAGTTGTACCTTTGTTATTTCTCTTTCTTTGGGACACCTTTCACAGCTGCAGCGGTGCCTGCCACTTGCCAGTATGCTGGGCCTTGTCTGCAAGAATCCCACAAGCAGGCGTTCCATGCTCACGTCATGCTCCTCCTCCCCCTTGGCTACGTTTTTGTAGCTGTGCTGTTTGCATAGATGGAGCTGAGACAGGCCCTATCTAATGACAGGAATATCCTGTGTTGCCCTCTTCCTTCTCCTTCGCCCCGCCATGACGTTATTTCCTGACAGTTATCAGGAGAAGCACAGGATACTGCGGTGGCCATAAGAATGTTTCTATACGTCAAAGCCATCTTAAGTGATCTTGATTCAACAGTGGGAAGTTGTGGGAGGCAAAAGTTCAGGTTGGTGGAAAACCTGGTTTCAAAGAATGAGAAGCCATTCCCTTTTAAGCAAAGGCTTGGCTTGGAAAATTGAAAGGTCCTCTGTATTTATTTTGAGTTTCCACAGACCTGAAGCATATTCACCCTTGATGCGGAAGGTGGGGGAGTGAAGGTGTCTACAGATACAGAGCAGATTCCCTGGAGAAATCCACATCTTCCCAGGACTATCCATCAGGCCAGGTGGTTACTTTGTGTGTGGCTAAATGTGTTAGGTGTAATGGTTCACCTTTGTATTGGGGCAGCCCATTGGGGCATACCAGGCTGATCCCGGTTTGGGACTTCTCCCCCTCTCTTTAAATTCTGTCAGGGACAGGATTGTGTCATTGAGACATGCACTTCCTCCCTGGTATGGCTTGCTGTAAAAAAAACAGGACCCCTGAGCCACTCCCAGAAGAGGCGGGTAGAGAGAGCGTGGTGTTTTCTGAAGTTAAGAGGCTGTTGAGACAGGAAATGGGATGTTGCCTGACTCCTCGCAGCACAGTGAACCACTCTAGCTGATGATGCACAGAATGTCACTGGGCGATACTGGGATGAGCAAATATTTCTTACCGCTACTGCTTGTTTGCTGCTGGAAGGTGTCGACTGCAGTGTCTGCTGATTATGATGGTAAGGAGTCCAACTTCCCCAACCGCTCTTGGCTTGCAAGAGCCTGAAGGGCAAGGTAGGGCTTTGGAGCAGGACCAACTGGCCTGAGGAACCAAGAGGTTGAGGTGGTGGTGGGGATTTGACACTTTTTCTGGGTTTTAAAAGCATTTTTAATGGAACTTTGAAAAGTTCCATTAAGGTTCCATCCAAAATTCTGTTAAAAGGATTGTCTAGTTGTGCCACAGAGCAAGCTCTCTTTAAAATATCTGAAGTGAAAAATGGATGGCCAGGCGTTTTTTCCCCCCTTAAGAAACAGCATTATTAATAGCAGGATATTTTGAAGTCCAGAGTTCTGTGAGAACATGACGGTCCCATGAGACGCTAAAGGCAAAAAAAAATTTGTTTTCAGTCAAGCAAAGCTGATTTTCTATCACTAGAGCTTTGCCTTCTCATAAGGGCTTCCAGGGATTTTTTTTTTTTTTAATTAACAGGTTCTGTGGCCTGATAAAGTTTGGAAAACCTTGATTTATAGCATAGGTGGAGAGCCTAGGGCCTTGGAGATCTAAGGGCTTCCAGGGATTTTTTTTTTTTTTAATTAACAGGTTCTGTGGCCTGATAAAGTTTGGAAAACCTTGATTTATAGCATAGGTGGAGAGCCTAGGGCCTTGGAGATCTAAGGGCTTCCAGGGATTTTTTTTTTTTTTAATTAACAGGTTCTGTGGCCTGATAAAGTTTGGAAAACCTTGATTTATAGCATAGGTGGAGAGCCTAGGGCCTTGGAGATCTTGCCGCAGTTTCGCTCTCTGCAGCGCAGGAACATCTAGCGAGGCACAAGTTTCCCACCCGTTTGCCAGTGGGGCAGACAGTTCCAGATTTGCAGCCACCAAAGCCCCCCAAGATTATGACGCTATTTTTTTTTTTAATATCACCCTGAAAAATGGGCATGCTAAGATACTGTAACTCTCTAACATGTGAAACAAGTCCAATATTTTGCTTGCTGGGCCGGTGTCATCACATCCTTCGATGTTCCTCTCACATCCCTTGGAAGCTGGAGATAAAGTAAAAAGGGCACCCCTTAGGGAGAGAAAAAAACTGTCACAATGATGCAGTTAAGAGCCACCACAATTCAAAGGGATGTTTAGGAGAGGAAAGATTTGCTTTGGCTGAGTTATTTGCAAGCTTGTGTTGATGGGATGAGCTTCTTCCCTAGTTCTGATACACAAAACACAGCTGGTTAATAAAATATAGCCAGCTGGTTGAACAGCCATTTCCAACGTGCATTCATGAATCCAGTGGGGGAGTTCTTGCAAAGAGAGCATCAAGACACTGTTGTTAGCCCTATGGTGTTCTGCGTTGTTATAAATGACTTCTGCAAATTACATGAAGCTAGGAAGGGGAGCTAATGCTGTAGAAAAACAATCAAAGGGTGGATAAATCTGCAGTCAAAATCAGCAGGATGAAAACAGATATACATGGGAAGTCTTCAGAACAAGAAAAATAGACATACCATAAGGTTGGGAAACAATACCTATTTTCAGAAGGGCTTGAATGAAAAGAATTAAGATCCCTTAAATTGATCAAAGGCTGAATATGAGCCAGCAATTGTGATGTGATTCTTTAAAAAAAAAAATGCAAGGCTTGACTAGCTGCATTTGGAATAACGCGCAGTTATGAAGGCCACATTTTAAGGACAATCTGGAATATGACTGGCAGGATAATCAGGATGGGAAGGAATTCCTATGGGAAAAAAATGTTTTAAAAAGCTGTGTATTGCTAGTCTGAAAAATAGATTAAAGCAATACAATAACAATCTTCAAACATTTGAAGGGCTGCCAAAGAAGCAGATGTCAGCTGAATAGTATGAGAAACATCCTGGTGGTATAAACAAGTGGACAGTAGCAATTGAAGTATGAAGTAGTGCTTCATACTAGTGGAAGTAGTTAGGCAGAAACTGGATCACCGTCAGGAATGCTGCAACTCCAAGATCCTTCCAATTCCAACATTTCTATGATTCAAAGGGGAGGAGAGAGCCAGTTTGGTGTAGTGGTTAAGGCACCAGGCTAGAATCCAGGAGACTGCCATCTCAGCCCTAGGAAGAAGGCAATGGCAAACCAATTCTGAAAATCTTGCCAAGAAAACTCCAGTCCAGGCAGTCGTCAAGAGTCAAGATTGGCTCTCTCTCTCTCTCTCTCTCTCTCTCTCTCACACACATATACACA